TATATATATATATATATATATGTATATGTACTGTACGTTGTGCGTAGACAAAAATGGCGGGCAATTTGAATACGACAAGGTACGATCGAAGTATTAAGATGAGAAATTATTGGAAATAATAATTTCTATATATTTTCCATTTGTTGAAAAAAGTTGATAAGTTTAAAAAATTTTCTATTATATATATTATATTAGTAATTATATATTATAATTTGTATAGTATTAATAATATATTATTATATTATTATATTATTATATATTAATAATATATATCACATTATTATATATTATTATATATTAATAATATATATCATATTATCATATATTATTATATATTAATAACATATATTATATTATTACATATTAATAATATATATTATATTATTATATATTAATAATATATATTATATTATTATATATTATTATATTATATTATATTATATCATACACCGCCTAGAATCTTCGATAAAATTTAAAATTCAAGTTTTCCTTGCAACACTTTCGCACTTTTCTATCCGTTTTTTATTATTTTTCTTTTTTATTCATTTATTTATTCTTTCTTCTTCCTTATTCCTTCATTCTGTTCCTGTTGGCCCCGGAAGATAGCAGCACTTACAGTGGCTGTAGGTTCACGCGAATAGGCATAGTTCTCACTCGAAATGCAAGTGAATTATAAATAGAAAACACGGAAAAGTATTTTTCTTTTTTTTCCTTTTCAATGCAAAATTGATATTCCAAATCAACCGTATAATTCTATTCACCGTCGTTTCTCCATCGAATTTCAACAAACGACCAAGAGATACTTAAGCTCGAAATTCAGCATTTTTCTTTGGAATCGATAGGCAAATAATTGGCAAATAAACGTACTTTGGAACCCAAGGCAGCCTCGTTCGCCAGAAGAACTGCTAGTCCACGCACCCTTCGGCCGGCACCCACGCTTCGCCTCGCCTCGGATGTAGATTTCGCTTCCGGTCGTGGATGGTCGTGTTGTCCTTTCGCTTGGAAGAATATCGCATGCTCAGTGTGTCGCCAAAAATGCGTCACTGGATAACCGCAATGGCCACGGCACGAAAGTATCTCCAGCCGGCCGGTGCATTGTCTGTTCGGGCATGGCTTGCCTTGTTGCTTTTTCCTTGCCTGAAAACACTGATCCTTTGATTCTCGTGCTCGAAAACAACGAACTCCGGATATATCGGATATAACGGTTTAAAATTGGCGCAAGATTATTAATTAACTCAACATTGATTCGTTGATTCGCAAATATCGAAACGTGAATGTAAATGATCTTGAATTTGGTGGGTTTGAATTCGATTGAAGTCCATTAAAGGTTCAGTGAATGCTAGAAACAGTGTAAATTATTTTGAATCTCGTAGGTTGATTCTTGAAATGTTTGGTAATTAGTTTTGAAGAATCGAGGATCATTGAAAGGGGAAGGTCCCTTTCCAATTCCCTTACCTTGTCACAAATCGCCGGTCGAAGGTGAACCCTTCCACCGCCAGGTAGTATGCATTCTTGCGAGCATACCAACACACCGAGGCAAGACTTTTTCAAGATGCTCACGTTGTGATTATTCGTGTTCCTCATCGCCCATCCGGACGCGTGTCTTCGCGCTTCTTCGCAGTCTGGCCCGTAGACTCTTCTTACGTGGCCATCCGCCCATTCGCACCAGGGATCGTACTCCACTACCTGCGATCGATTAATAAATTAATATAATCAATCCAATCGAATTCTGAATCACAAAAAAC